TCGTATTAGGTCATTTATCATCGATGAGCTGGCACCGTCCTTGCGAAAGTAAGTATTACTGTCTCTGTCAACTTCCTTATTATACGTTATAAATTTTATATGCATAAGTATGGAAATGATAAATTCGAAAGATTTCGATTCAAAATTAATACGACTAAAAATTTGAAAGAAAATAAATATTCAAGTATTATACCATTTTTAATCAATATTTTACAAGAAAAATATATATAGAAACTAATTTTTCATGACAATTCACTGAAAGTAATCATAAAAATGATATGAGTATAAACAATCTAAACAAATAAATCTTATCACTTTTTTCCTGTTTCATCAATCATAATAATGTGAAATCACAACAAGAAACCATGACAACAGCAACAAATATATATATATAGTACCGAATAAAAATATTATTATTGACTCAATTTTCTCATAAAATCCTACATAAAATTTTTAAAAAAGAAAATCTCTTTTTAAATATTCTTATAAAATATAGCTCTTGAGTCTAACCTGAATGTATATTATAAACAATGCAGATTAGTGTACTGAAAAAAAAAAATGATGATAAACACAATTTTCAGCTACAACTTATTGTCAACTGTTAATAAATATTTTTTCTAATTTCATTATTTAAACTTCATAGCTAACCATATACTTAAAATTTATACCGAATAGATACACTTTACAAACAAATTAAATAAAGATTCGTACTTCTTAAAGATTTACAGAAAATGCTATAAGAAATTGAAGTTTATACCAATAAATTTATTTGACTTTTTCGATACATGTATATAATATAACATTTTGATCATTATCATAAATTCGTAATCAATTTATTTTCTATACGTATTAAATGTATTCATGTAGAATTTTGTAAATGTTTAAAATAAATTCGGCGAGTTTGGATGATATAACCGAAGCATTAAAAATTTTTTTCGATTATTTAACTATGTGTTTAAAATAATATATTGTATGAAGAAACAAAAAATGTTTTGAAAATAATAATAAATAAATGAGATTAGTCGTATAAGTATCAGCGTATAACGAAGGAACGAATGTAGTAGCTCGGAGCAAGTTGCGTCGTCTCGATTTCTAGATTACAGAGTTTAGCTTGAAGCAAGTTTCGTTCGATCCGGCTTTTGAAGACCTTGAATCGTACAAGACACACCAGCTACTTGAAACTCGATCGAGTATCTTCCGAGGATACGATTTATCGTTACATAAATGAAATCGCATAGGACAGCAGTTGAAATAATAACTGAAGTTTCTCATTAAAACTACCCACGCAACATGTCTCTTCTCGCCGGAAACAAGAACGTCGTGAAAGAAGATAATCGAAATGCGTGTTCGGTAGGAATTGTTAAAAACACAAATTTTATATGATTTTAGTTGATTAAACCAAAAAGACAAATGTGAATCGTTCACGCACAGGTCAAAACAATTAACTCCTTCAATTTTAATATCAAAGTATTTTACTGATATATATTTCATTTTGTATTTTTTTAAATCAACCAAAATTTACTTCATAATTACGTTTAACACCAATAAACAAGACAAATTTTATACAAATTTACAATGATAAATTGTACAACGATGTTATATTACTTTATCAATTTTCTCTACTTTCTTTTTTGTGAAGTTAATTGATTTGATAAACAATGCTCGTAGTTATCCGTTCTTATCTGTTCTTGTATTTTAAAAATCGATGTACTGTTAGTCGTATTGTTCTATCGGATTTAATCTACAGATCAAATTTCAATTTCATACCTACTCGCCTCTTGTAAATTCATATATTACATAGTTGAAATATTTCATTCTGCCTTCTTTCATATTTAAGGAAAACAGTATATAATTATTTCAGGGTTTTACCTAATCATTACACGAATTAACGGATTTCACAAAGTAACGCTTATGTATATATCTAGAGGATGCAACTTGTAGACTTAAAGTCGAAGATATACTTGAAAGACAAGTCATTCCTCCCGTTCGTTTGGCGAGAAACGCCTTTCGGATTTCCATGAGGTTCCTTACGTAAGCGGAGATATTATTACAGCCGTCAATTCGTAAAAGGAACACCAGCGAAAGTTAGCAGAATTTATCTTCCTCTTCTCCCACTTTCGCGAGAAACATTCTCATAAATGAAAGAGATACTAATAAAAAAAAAAAAAAAAAAGATAATAATAAAAAGAACCGGTGGCGCCTTACCACCGTGACGAATTACGACGTCACGATGTTGACCAAGCAAAAAGCCAAAAAAAAAACAGACAAATAAATAGAAAACTATTTCGCGAAGGTGGAAGGTAAAGAAGAATAAAGATCAAATATAATTTCTATTTCTTTGTTGGTTTTATGTGTGTTTATTGGATGAAATAAACGAAAGTTACCAAGGACAACGATGTATAATACTACATTGGGTTGAGTAAAAAGCTTCTTCGTATTTTAATGCAAAAATGAAACAAGTTTTTCTTATATTTTGTATCCAGCCTTCTCCAACCAGTTTAAAAATGTTTTGTGGCCAGCGTTTAGTTCCTTATCGATATTATTACTGCTTATGTACTGATCTTGCTCAATTTTTTTCCATGATTTCATTGATTTTTCTAATAATTGATCAACCAGAGTGAGGTGATGCATTTGTAATATAAAAATGTCTGGATTGGAGACGTTTGAACCAGTTTTGTGTCAAACGTATTAATACTGCATCACGTTCACCATAAACAGCAGAAATGTTTTTAACAATCTCAGTTGCTTTTTTTCCTTTTTTTTGTAATAACATTTTGAAATGTATCGAATTTATTCTTTACTTTTACTCGTTTTCAAGATATAATAATTTTAAATCGAATAAACAAATATCATAACTTCTTTTTTAATTATTCTATGATATGTAACCTTTAACACGCATGCAAATATTGTCAGATCTGATTAATATTATCAGAGTTATGCAATACTAAAATATTAGTCTATTTGGTACTTTGGAAATGGCATAAATAAATGTAACATTAATAAATCATGATCTATTTTATTTAAAAAAAATATCATCGATGGTTAATCAAAATTCATTAACTACATTTTCATTTTTTTTTTTATGAGAAAATTAATTTTTTGAATTTACTAGCCGTGCTCCATAAAACGCGTCAATAATAATAAACCCGACTTTTCCCATTAAAAATTTATTTGACAACTAATAAGAGTCAGATTAGAATAAATGTTAGTTAATGATTTTTGGTTAAACATAAACGATAAATATTTGGGATTCTTATTCTCGAACCCTCTCACTATGAGCGGCCTATCTGCTGTAACGTTCTCGCTGTATAAGAAAAGTGTCGAAATTTCTACAACTAAAGTTTCTTAGACATTTTTTTCGACTAGTAGATCAAATACAACCATTTACAAATATTGACAAATTCGAAGCTCAGTCAATAACCTAGAATGGGCTAGAATCTTCTAAATTGCGAATTCTCGTATATGTTTATACATTTTTTTGAATTATTATATAATCATATTTTTTACAGACTTACAAATCAACACTGTATATATAATATATTTAAAGTCTTTTTCTCAACCAAAAATAATTCATATATTTTTTCAAAATAACAAATAATATTTTTAATATAAAGCAAAAGAGTTCATTTCACAACTTTTTTAACTTTACGTTACTTTCCCGTAAGCCAAAGTTTCCCTTATATCTTATCAAAAGTGATAAGAGATTTTATGAAAATCGATTGAATATTTGAAGACGAAAAATAAATTTAACTGTAGAAAAAAATTCTGTATAAAAAAGAAAACTGATTGTATGTACGTGAAAAGGTTAACTATCAGTTAAACAAACATGGTAATAAAATATATATGTTATTAATATCATTTCAAAACGTAGAAACAACATTAAAATTACCAGTTTTTCTCGACAGTTAGCGAAAAATCGAGGAGTGCGTTTTACAGTGAAGAAAAGTTATACGCGTAAAAGAGAAAGCGAGAAAGAAAGAGAGAGAGAGAGAAAGAGGAATCCACTGTCAGTCCACGTGCGAAGTGCGCGAAAACAAAAATGAAAAGAGACGTTTCTAATCGCCATGTTTTTAAAGATACGAGATAAGGAGTTAAGAAAGAAATAAAAAAAAGATAAGAATAAGATCAACGTTCGTATATTGTTTACGATCGTTATCTCAATCCCCGAAGTAAAAGAAAACAAGGAAAATGAACATTTAATATCAATTATCGTATTTTGAACAAGCAAACGAACGACACGTAGAAAGATCTTGAAGCGACGCATACAAGATGAGAGAAAAGAGAAAGAAAGAGAGAGAGAGAGAGAGAGATAGATAGAAAGATAGAAAACAAAATGAAAAAAGAGATCGGCCAATAGGCGAAGATGAATCAAATAACAAATGGAGCAAACGCGTTATATAGAATATTAATTAGAAATGATATAATAAAAGTAAAAAAAAAGTTTAAGAATAAAAAGGAATAAAAAAGAAATTGGTAGTTTCAATAGAGTGTATGGAAGAAGCACGAAAATAGCTTTGAGCGACTTTCGTCGAGGCGACGAGGAACGGCAAACGAACGTTAGTAGAAGGTTCCGAAATGTTGAAAGAGCAAAGCGAGGGATTAACGAGTCTGAGAGAGAAAGGAAGTACATAAAAGGGAAAAAGAGAGAGGAAAAAGATCGTTCAGGCAGAAAAGGAGCCAGAGTACGAACAAACGAGCAAAATAGAAAGAGAGAGAGAGTGAGGGAGAGAAAAGAGTCGATGTGTAAATGCGAGAAAGAGAGAAAGAGAAAGAGAAAGAGAGAGAGAGAGAGAGAGAGTGAGTAAGAGAGGGCGGAAGAAGACCATTGCGAGTCCACATTGGGGTGACCCAAGCGGCAATGTTCAGCCGGACGAAGTTAATTCGTGGCCCCGTCGGGTCCGGTCGAGTAATAACGAGGATTCGATTTTATCACATAGAGAAAGAAAAACAAGCGGGAAAATAATATTATTGTCGATATAATATATTTTCTTATTTCTTACCTGCCAAACCATAAGCAACCGCAGAAAGAGATAGCAGAGCCACGACTACGAGGAGGCGGCGTAACGAGACGCTTCGTCCCCTTCGCATTTTTCCACTTGAAGCGCAACACCACCGGTTTTTCCTCCTCCTTGTTGTGCTATCGTTTAAGTTTCTTTCTTTTTCTTTCCTTCTCTAATTTTGGAATTTTTTTTCGTTTTTTTTTCTCTTGGGTTTTTCCAAACACTACGACGAATTGGCTTGAGTTACTCGAATCGTCGTAACTTATATCACATAATAAACAAAAAGAAAACGAATATATATGTGTGTGTGTGTTTGATACGACGAATTAAATTCACAACGATAATATCACGAGTCAATTTCCTCTCCCCCCTCTTGTATTATTTCCTTATTTATCGACGTGCGCACTTCTCGTCCGGCTTACGACGTGAGGAATACGATAACAACGATGTAAAGAAAGACGACGAATGCCTCGAGTACGCGCGGCTAACTAAACTCGACCACGCGTGCGGGACGAGCTGACGAGCGACGTGAGTTGGAGGGGGAGAGAGAGATACAGTCAACTAAGTGAATATAGAGAGGGAAAGAAAGAGAGAGAAAGAGAGAGAGAGAGAAAGAAAGAGAAAGAGAGCAAGAGTATTTGTTATATACGATCACTCTAGAAATTCAATAAACACGCGTCGACCGGCTCGTCAATGTACACAGCCGGTCGGCACTACTTTTGACAGATAAATACTTCCTCGCGCTGCCAAGACGCGCACGAGCATTTGTTATTAAGCGACCATTTGCAATAATCGAAGAGCATTTAATCTCTTCGATAGATCGCTTCTTATTCTAACATCCTCTCGAATTCCAAACAATGAAACATCGATTGTCGAATCGTATCGATGTTGCGCGCGTCCCTCAAAATGCGCGCCATATTTGAATTCGATCATTCCTGGATCATTGTAATTTTTCTATTTTTTCATAGTTTTTAGGTGAAAAATTTTTGTTTCTATTTCGTCGATTAGTTGCATAAATCGGGATAAATTATTAATAGATTTAGAAATGAAGATTTATATCGTTCAATGCTTTGGTTAGACTAATGTCTTTCGTGGCTTTTAAAAATATATTCTATTATATTGTAGTCTTTGTGATAAAATACATTATATCGAATTTTCTCAGTCACTGTGAGACATATAAAGATTAAAAATAACTTTTTATTTTTGGGACTTAAATTTTACAGGTGATAGCAATCAATGATGACGGGTAAAACGGTCGGTAGATTTTTCAAATTCTGCTCAAATATCAAGAGTAATCAAATTTATTTTTACGTAACAGAAGAATAAGTCATCTTCGTACATTTATAGTTTTTCTTTGAAAGAAATAATATTATTCCAATCGTATATTAAAATGAAAAATACTCTAAAAAATATGATATCTCTAATGAAATAGTATGAAAAATGTTGCAGTGTCGCAATCGAGATAAGGTTACAACCGAGCAAAACGTTCATAGTTATCTTGCTTTCCGTTAGATGACGCCAGCATTAATTGTGACGAAAATCGATTGCATCCTATGGTATTTTAAAAATGTATTTCCTCTCTCCCTCTCGTTTATTCCTTTCTTTATCGTATGACAATGACAGAGATCGGCACCACGTACGAATTATATCAGAAAAGAATCATTAGTTAAATCAAAAATTTCCTTTTATTGACGGGTTTCGACGAAATAACCGCGCTTTCAAAAGAAACGTTTTTGGAATTCGGCATAAAACATAGTTCCGAATTTGCGAGGGTTGACAGCGGCACGTGTCATGGCGAGTAGTATAGTATTGACATAAGCATAGAAAAGTTAATCTCTCCGATATAACTGTCAAATATTGCTGACATAATTCATCGAAGTATAGAAAATGAAGGAAGAAACGATGCTTAGTTTGAAGTGGCACAGTTTCCACTCTCACTTAGCAGTTTCTTTAGATACGTGCTATGAGAAGCAACAGTTTGTGGATCTTTCCTTGGTGTGTAAAGACGGAACAATACTAAAGTGTCATAAGATGGTATTAGCGAATTCGAGTCCTTTCTTTCGACGTTTACTTGTCGCTAATGATCACCCTCATCCAATGATCATACTTCATGATATCGAAGCTGACGATCTGAAAACGATTGTTAATTTCATGTATTGCGGAGAGATAAAAGTAATTAAAAGTGAGGTTAGAAGGTTGCTAAAGTTGGCTGAAATCTTAGAAGTCACTGGTTTGCGACACATTCAGAGGTCATTTTTGACAGGAGAACATTACAATGCGTCTCAAGAAATTCCTAAAAAGACAGCTACAATGGCCCCTTCTAAGATAGAAGACAACAGGAACTCTAACAAGAGCGGTCCAAATTCTGACTTCAGAACAAAAGTTCAAAACAAAAATGTGTCTCAGTCTGCTACATTTTTATCTTCGCCTCATAATACGCCTAAAACTTCCCAAGATACTGCCAAAAGAAATGAAGAGAGTAACATTGCTTCTTCAAGCCAACGATTTGAAAGTAATAGACCCAACCTTAATATAATAGACATCAATGACATCCCAAGTACGAGTAAAGGTTTACAATCACAAATGATTCCAAAAAGAAAAACATCTGATGAATCTGTTATCAGTTGGCAAAAGATTTTATCTACTATATCGAAAGACAAACAACTGCCATTAAAAAGATTATGTATAATGGATGAAGTGGAAATTACTCCAGGTAAACCTTCGACATCCAAATCTGAAACTAAAAGAGACGAGCCATTGGACAGAAGGAAATCGATAGATACCATACATAATAGTACTTCTATGAAATGTGCAGTTTTTATAAAAGATGAATTAGATGTTTCATCAGAGTTAGAAGAAAATGCAGATATGGATCCTCTTGAAATTGAAGAACTTGAAAGTGAAAATACAGAGAATGTTGTAACATCTAAACGAACGTACAATTTGTGGGACTTTGATCGGATTTATAATACACGTAAAGTGCTAGATTTTCCACCAAAGAAAGGTCCTAACAGTTAATATGCGGAGTATTGAACTTTGATCTATTAAGAGTGATGCTTCTTTAGATTATAAAATTTTGTGACTGTACATTTATTTAGAAGGATAAAACTTGTTAAAAACTTATCCTTGTTATGTGATCATAAATAAGGATTAATATTTTAACTTCGTCGCTGTTTGTTATATTATCTTAATCCCTTCCTAATAAACCAATACGTATAGTAGTTTGTTTATTTTGTTACCCCAGCAAAATCGTTATTAAGCTTTATCATTGATTTATAATTTATAATCATTTTTCAAATCTAACACATAAATAATAAAAAGAATTCTAAATAATGATTTTGTAAATGAAAATTACTCACATATAAAATATTAAGATAAATGTAAGAATGAAAAAATTGCTGAAATGTGTTGCCATAGCAACTGTTTCTCTGCTTGATCATATATATATTATGTTATACTAATGGTATTTAAATATATGTGGTTATAAAGTGACTAAAAAATATGGATTCAACAAAATCTAGAAATAATAATGAACAAATAATTGAATGTGAGCAAGCAATAGAAAATTTTAATTCTATTAATAAACATACCGAAGAAGAGTTTCAGAACTTTATGCACCGAGTAACTGAAATTGGTAGGTTATAATGAGTTACGAATTGGTTTATGTAATTCTACGAAATTTTTGACTCGTAAACTTTTTCAACGATAGAAAAAATTGTATCAAAATTAGCATCTTCCGATACTAAAGAACAAGAACTTGGTCAAATATTAGCAGACAAAATTTTAGATAAGAAAACTCAGGAAGAGATCTCTGACCAGGAAGAATTAAAAATTAAAACTAATCGTACAGTCATTAACAAATATTCTAGAAATGAAAGTACATCCGATCCAAATAAAATGGGACAAGGTAATAATTCATATAAAATTATATATTTTAATACATTTATTTTATATGAACTACTATATAATAATTATAATTTTATCTAATTATAAATATTTATATATACATTATAATTCAAATATCTCAAATAATTAGAAGCTTTCATGAAAAGTATTGAAAAAGATGCTAATGAACGAGCAGCAGATAGAAAGGTAAAAAGAGAACGAGCAGAAACATTAAAGAGAATTGGAAATGGTGCATTTAAAGAAGGAGATTATGAAAAGGCTGTGACATATTTTACCAAAGCAATAGAACAACGTAAAGATTCTAGTGTTCTTTGGAATAATAGAGCTTTGTCATATATGAATCTGAAATTATTTGAAAAAGCTTTACATGACTGCAAATGGGCTTTGAAAGTAAATGATTCAAACTTGAAAGCTCTGTTAAATAGCGCTAAATGTTATAAAAATCTTCACAATGAAGAAAAATGCAAAGAGTTTATTAAACTAGCAAGAGAAAAAAATCCACATTTCAAAAAATTCATTGATGGTATTAAACTCTTTATATCTTTTTTTTTTTTTTAAATTACATTTTTCTGCAGAATTTAGATATCATTTATTATTGCAGATTTTGAAAAAAATTTAGGTACAATAGACGCAATTGACGATGTTTAAATTATACAACTGTATCTAAATCTTTTTTCTACAATGAATATAACAGTAACAATTAATCATTATCCAATTCTAATATTTGATCATTAATTAATAGAAAAGTACTTTGAAAAATGTTTATAAAATAAGCACTTAATAGATATTAATGATATTTTATAATATAAATAAAAATATATAATTAATATCAAAATTTATCAATCTCTGTGGCATAGAGTTCTTTATTTTCAGAAAGTGATCTTGGCTCGTGTAGGAAGACGGTACACTCAATGCCCTGAAATAATATAATTTAATTGATAAAAAGTTTTAACAGTATTTTAACATATTAAACACAAATTTCATACCTGCATTCGAGCTGCTCTAACGAAACCTTCATTCGCAGAAACAGTAATACTTTTCATGTTTTCACCGCTAGCAAAAACTAACCGTGATCTATCCTTAATTTTTCCACCTAAGCTCAATTGTTCCATAATCCTGCCAGTTTGTACATCATCTACAATTTTCACTCGTTTTAATAATTCCTGTGCTCTTAATGTTTCTTTAGGACCACCAATTACATCTATGATATTCATAAAATTCTTGTAGGCAGTTTGACAAATGACAATTGTTTTTCCTTTAAATAATTTATCTAGAATTGGTTTAACAGGCCTTTTCCTTTCCATTTCAGCTTGTTGCGTTAATAATGGTTCCTTGTATACAAAATGATCATATCCATTAGTCATATTAGAAACATATGCCAATAACGTTGAAACATCTAAATTCAGAATTTGGATCTCCTCTGCAATTGATGTCGGATTTAAATTGACCAGATCAAAAACAGGACTCTTTTTGAATTCTTCACTTGGTTTCCTTCCATTAAGATGTGAAACAAATAATGTTTCATCTATCTCTATCTCATTATTTTCATTTTCATAATTATTTATTCTGTCACCTTCCACAGTAATACCTATGGATTCTAAGCGTTTTGCTAATATTTCTTCTATACCATATGCAAAATAAAATACAACTTCAGGTGATTTGTATAAGTATGGATGATGCTTGGCGCATTGCAAATAGAATTCTGCTTGATCTAGGATAGACTTTTGGCCATATTCACCATTACCAAGCGATATCAAAGTAAGAGCCCTAGCATTTCTAGCAATAACTTTAACCCAAGATCCTCCGTTCATACAGACAATGTCTACTTCCAATCTTGATCCTTCGTATTTGAAAGGTTTCATTACACCAGTTGGTTCTTTGGAATTAAATAGACGCATCACCATTGCATCAAGATGAATTAAATTTGTACTTTGTAGATGTTCTTTCTTAACATTTCCTGTTGATTGTACCTTTATACAAATATATAAATATAATAACGACAGAACAATATATTAAATGAATAAGAAAATGTAGAGTTTGAATAGATATTTTGAAAAGGTACCTTTTTCAAGAATCTTATCTCTTGCTGTATTTTTCTTATAAGCTTGTCAACCCCATTAACCTTCTCCATGATCTTCAGTCGCTCTATCATATTTTCGCCATTGTAAATATTTTCTTTGAGACATTTCAAAAGTTCGACTTTTTCTTCCATCGGCATCTATCGTGAAAGCAAGGATCGAACGTACATCGAATATTCCATTAACAATCAGAATACTTTGAAATGATGTTAGTTCACGGTCGAGGAGCGTAATATCGGTGGCCATCTTGGACCGTGGGTCAATATCGCGCAATGTCGTCAGGTCGCTTGTCAAAATCACCTAACCTAACAAATTGTTCGTTCTTGTAGACGATCATAGTCAGTGTGTCAAACTACGGACTCTTAGTGATACGTAATTCCCTCCAAAAGCTCATTGTGTAATATGAGACGGATTTGAAAAGTGTGTGTTTATGAAATTTCATATATTTCAAATATAAGAAAACAAAATCTTATCGACGCGATATATAATGATAATATAAGTATGTGTGTAAACGCAGAATAGCCCTGTCAAGTTTGCTTCGACAAAAATAGAAATCACATTATCGAGCCTTGAAAAATGTCTAACGCGAAGATAATAAAGAATCCAGAAGTACCGGGTGAGTTTTTATTCTCTATTTATTTGATATGACACTTGTCACATTTATTCACTTTACTCGTTCAGCGGCTTCCTTTTCCTCTTCTCTTACCATTTTTCTTTAGTGTCAATAAATATTCGAATTTAAACGAATACATGCTATAATCGTATTAAAAAAAACAGCGATAGAAATTCGTACAAGTTGTTCCATCTTTCGACGAATAGCATTCGTTTACAAGCTACTTGTACATTCCCCTTTCGTCTTTGAAAAGTGCATCAATAAAAACACATGCATATACTCGAAAGAGAAACACCGGTAAATGTATATAATAAAACCTTGATCAACCAGCGTGATCGGAAGACAAATGACATGGATTAATCCAAATTCAACAGATAATCGAGACCCGGGTAGAATTATTAACATGTTGAAACCAGCGTGTTCCACCGGTGGCTCCGCGTGAACTTTTCATCAGTCGGCATATACTATATATTGGCGGTTTACCTTAGATAATCTTAGAAATGATAATATAAAATTGACAATGATAACATAATAAATAACGAACAATGATATTGTCAATCCTAATAAACAAATAAAAAAGTAAATTGTACCGATGAGCCTGAATTGTTGTTAAAGAAAATATTGAATACGGAAAATTTGCAATTTAGAAATAAGCACTGACGTCAAGATGTTAAATAACACGTTTCTTGCACGCAAAATAAGATTTCATATTTGGTGATTAAATAAATAATCATAGATATTTATATAATATTAGGTTTAGTAAATTATTTCTTCCTATTTTAATGCAAAAATTAAACAAGTTTTGTTTTCATATTTTTTATCCAACTTTTTTCAATTATATTGCATCATATCCATAAACATCACAAATATTTTAATTAAGTATTATATGAATTTACAAGAGGGGGGGGCGAGTAGTTAAGGTATGAAATTGATATTTGATCCATAGATTAGATCCGACGTTTTTCATATCGATCACTCTATTCTGAATGAAATTAAAAAAAAAGGTTTTCTTATCGAAACATGTATTGCAGGATTATTGATGTAAGACGTTTAAAAACAGCGGGTCAGGGATTGCTTGCTTTCCCTGAACCGTCAGGGATTGCTAGCTTTCCCTGAACCGCCAGGGATTGCTAGCTTTCCCTGAGCATCCAACTTTTCTTTGCTATTTTTTGAATCTATGCAAATCGATTCATTACTCAAAGAAGTATTTTACACGTAGACAAAAGTGTGTACTTTAATTTAAAATAAGAGTCATTTAAATCTGTTTTTTTTAACAATAAGTATAAAAAATATTTACCGAAACTTATCAAAGAAATGGCAAAGTTGTACAATTTACATTTTTTTTTCTTCTATAAATTAGAATAATTTACAAGAAATATCATTAAAATAAATAAAAATACAGGAACAAACAAAAATCGATATATTATGATTGACCATTTAAATTCTTGTACAATAAAAAAAGAAATTAGTAATGTCATAAAAAATAAAAATTTAATTGAATTATTTTGTTATACAATTAGGATTAGAATGCTTCTTACCACCACCTCCGCCACCTCCACCTCCCACAACTTCATCGACGAACGGTGTGTTGACGACTAGCGGTACACAAAATCAACAACAGCATGAACAACAAAAATCGACTGTAGAAACAACGACAACGAAAACGACGACAACGACGTTAACAACGATTACAACGGAAACGATAACGAGCTCAACAACGGTAAATCCGAACACGATACAAACGACTCTTCCAAATTTAGCGGTACCAACTCCGTACATCCTGCACCCTACGATGCAACCGCAAACACCGACGCAACCAGCTATACCATGGTGGATTTCTACGGAGGCGGATACCTCGGCAGACATGTATGCGCAATGGTACAATGATACATCGTACAAAACTGCACCAACTGCAAATACTGTCGTCCAAGTATCAGCGGTTCAGCAGTCGTCGAAACCGAAGAACAAATATTATAAGCGTAAGAACGAGTTCATCGATCCTGCCCAAGATGCAGGTGATTGAGTTATTTTTTCCATTATTATAAGGCCGTTTGAAAAAAGGTTTGATTCATTTTAAATAATAGAATTCAACCGAACGTTTTATTGTTGTATTTAAATGTATTTCAGGTTTATATATTGCAACGCGTGATGAATGTATACCGTATGAATAATAACACGTGATTATACACACGTCGATTCTTGCTTATCGAGTTCATGAAAATTCATTCGAATGTATCAAATCATATTTTGATTTACGATAAATACATATCAACGTAGGTATACATGTATACATCTCACACGATCATCAACTGATTCTTTGCATATAGAAAATTGGATTAGATTTTTTGATATTACCTTTTTTCGTTAAATATAAACTTACAGCAGATATACATATATATATATTATATTTTTAAAATAAAAACATTACAATATCGGTATATATAAAAATCCAAGTTTTTTATGCGATAAGAACGACAGTATATTATGTAGTATCGTATTGTAAAAACGTTCGCGTAAATACGGCCTTTTACATTTTTGTTTTCTCTTAAAAATCTACCTGCACGAATCGTTTAACTGGAGAAACAAATGTTTACTTTGTATTTGTTTGTTTATTTGGTTCGCGCTCTCTCCCAGAGAAAGTTGCCAGCGCCCAAAGGGAGTTGTCGGCGCTGATGAAGCCGCTAAAGTGCGATCTCTGTAACGCGGTGGTAAGATTTCTTTATCTGTTAACTTCCATGAAATTTGATCCGCGACACAATGATGAGAATTGAAGAAATAAAAACGATTGGACGTTTACAGATGAATTCCACCCTGCAAGCAAAATTGCATTACGACGGTAAGCCACATCAAAAGAAAGTAACCATGTTTTTGAATCAAAGCGTGAAGAAACAGAAAACGGAAGATGGCCAAGTCAGTAGTACTACCGATTGGCAAAATCGGTGCGACGTAAGCTTTCTTTTCGTTTCTTACGAATTTTTTGGAAGTACTGTTATTTGATCGTTATTTCAGAATTTGATATACTTTTAATTTCAGATCTGCAAGACGTGGTTCTCATCGCAAATCGAAGCGTCTCAACATTACTCTGGGAAGAAACATATAAGAGTAGCTCATGGGGGTCTTCGCTCGAGGTATCGAAATGTCCTGACTCATTTCGATCGATTATCATCCAGAGCGTTCGACCGAATTCGATCATGACAATATTGAACGTTCCAGGCCGAAAAAGTCACAGAATCAAAATCAGTACAACCAAATAGATTCGACCGGTCGATACGGCATAGGCATGGCTTTCCAACAAGACGTGCAAGTGCCAGGAACATCCGCCGTGGTATCTGATGGTAGTAACATCATGGTGTCACCGCAAGGAACCCCGACTCCCATTTACACACCCCCAGCATATCCCACCCCACTTCGTTGCGATCTCTGCGGTGTCTCCGCGAATCGCCAGGATCAACTAGAAACACACAAACGTGGCGCCAGGCACATGAGAATGCTCAAACTAAATGGATTACCCATTCCTGAACTACGTATGAGAATATTGTTCATATTACTTTTTTTTTTTTTCCTATGGTTCGTGTTTCCTCGAAAGAAAACACGTATATTTAATTGTCGTGCTTTGCTTTTATTTTTTAGTTTCTGAAAGTGAAAACGCTTCGAGTTCGTCAGGTCCTATAGATTATTCCATTTATAGAACACCCTCGGGTAAGTATTTTTATCCTATTAACAAAATAAGTTATCCATCGAAAGTCTTGAAAAATTTTTTTATTTTTTTGTAGGCCAATATTATTGCGCCCCATGTAATCTGTCGCTGAATTCAGAGAGCACGTTCGCTCAGCACGTCGAAAGTAAGAAACATAAAAATCAATCTAATCCCAAGTCACCGTTGAACGCAGCAGTAATATCGAAGAAAGCAAGATTCAAGAAGAAATAAATGAAAGAGCAGAACGAACGTCTATATCATATATTTTCGTTCAAGTTTGATTTTTATTCAACAGATTATCGACAATCGTTATGTCGAATAAGTTACACGCGTTATCGATCTTCATTTTAACGTTTAACGGAGACGGATTTAATAATAATAAATTTGTGACGTCTTGCCCATAAAATAATATGCGTAAGAATTACGTTTAAAAAAATGCGCGAGAAAACTTAACGCGAGCGTTTTTTTTTTTCATTTTAAATGAAATATACTCGCGGTGGAATGTTCGTATCGGCCGTTATATCGTCACATCAGCAGATATTAAGAATTAAAGTTAAGACCGTGATTCGCGGCGTCGTCTGGGCCGATGATGAGAAACATAAGCATGTTAAAAGCTGGGGCCATATTTTAAATGAAATACCGATTAACTTTAAATTAAATTTGCGATAACTCGAGCGGTTACTTAGCGAAGCCGAGGACGGAGTTCGTTACAATTTATCTCGTAAACGATCATAATCGTTCATCATATTTATTCAATTAAGAAACTATTAACGCTCGTTTGAAATCAAGTAAGTATTCTCGTTCCTGTCTGCCTAGACGTGGAGGATTCGCGAGATCGAATGTTCGTCGTCATCGTCGTAAGCTGTTCGTCACGTTACGCGTCGCGTTCTCCCAAGCCTCCCCGTGTCATGGCCTATACGTGAAATTTATGCTTCGCTTGTTCCTCGACCTTCCGTAGAATTTATGACCAAGAGCGAACGAGCCTAACATCGAACCCTCTCGGGTCTATTAATTACCTGCTAAGGCAACGTGTATGACTTATCAACCGTTTACCAGTATCTTTTTTACCTTCACCTTGGTACGACAAATATATGATCGAAAGACCGGTAAACGTATATAGAGAATATTACTGTGTCAGACACGACGAATCAGAACTAAATTTACGAGCAAGTAAATTTACGACGGATAAAAAGCTCGACTCTCGCGATTCCTGGATACGTTCGGAGCATGACGATAAAGACCAACGATCATCCTCCAAATTATCTCCAAAGTCATTTTTCTTCTTTTTTTCATCTTCATTTTATTTGTTTATTTTTTTCTATCCATGTTGCTCGATACACAACCGTCTCTATTTTTCTAAGCGAATTCAAAAGAATTCTCTTGGCAATTTGGCGAGGCAAAGGGTTATTTTCTTTTCGAGCCCATTTGTTTTTTGTTTTTCCGCTTTTGGTTCTTTTGCTCGTCCTTTCAGCGACTTAAAAAGGAAAACACAAAAGAAAGAAACAGAGAGAGAGAGAGAGAGAGAGAGAGAGAGAGAGAGAAAGAAAGATTAGGATCGTTCTCGCACGGACTTGTAGATCGCTGCTTTATACCTGCGCTTCGGATTTTTATGACCTCCCTGGTTCCACGTTTAGCGTGTATTCTTTTTTTTTATTTCCTTCTACAGCTTCCCACTCTATCTTCTCTTTTTCTCTCTGCTTGTTTGTTCACGACATCTACCAAAATCCCTTTTTCCATCTTCTCGTCTACCGCGTAGCTGAATCCAGGGGTGCCACTCTTCTTCCACGTTTTGTTTTCTGACCCGATGCTTTATTAAACCTAAAAAATAAGAGACAACGCGTTACGTTACATTGTAGTTTGAAGATTTAAGAGAACTCCTCTTAAAAGAGGATTGAAAGAAATATAAAAAAAAAAAGGATAAGAAGACATAAAGAAGAAAAGAAAGATATCCTCGAGAGAAAGTTGTCTTTTTGTATTCCAGTCACCAATACCAATATCACAAACACCATCGTCTCCTAGCAGCAATCTTCGAGCGTAAATTAGTATGGAATACATAAAATTCTGGTGGATATATTTAAAGGATAGGTTACGTCGTGTACATGATCGACGGACAACGGAGCTGGTAAGATGGAAAACATGCGAATAAATGTAAAATGTTTTATGATGCATTCTATTTTATTTTAATGCTTTTTCTCGTGCGAAACAGAAAGAGAAAGAGAGAAGATATTAATTAAAGACCGAGATCGTCTACATTTACGTGATGTAGTTGCGTACTCGTATACGTTTACGAGGATGATGTTAATCCGGGAACTTTTAGAATAAGAGAAAGAGAGAGAGAGAGAGGGAGAGGGAGACAGATATATCTACAAAAAAGGTCGCTCTCAATCTGTCACGCAACAGATAGTAATGCGCGTAAAAAGCCATTAATCGGAGCGGCTTACGGGCAAGGTTCCCTTCGAATATCGGTGGGGAATTCGTCGTCAATGACTGGAGAGAATTTCTCAAGAGGAAGATGAGTAGGAGGATGGTAAAGAGTTTGAGGAGACTGTTAGTCGACTCGTTTCCACCTGCGAGAAGACGATGCCGTGACGAAAAAATCAATCGATCGATTCCTTCCACCCCACCCCACCCCACCCCCTCTCTTTCTCTTTCTATTCTACAATGATGATGAACCCATATCGAAGGTTTCTCTTCACGAATTCTCACCAAAATTACAATGAGCATTTTGAAGTTTGTAAGTCAAAAAAAGATCATCGTAAAAATCCTCTTTCGTGGTATTTATTATTTATCGAATGATATTAATAAAATCTTGATCACGATTGAAGCATGTGTTAGCGTAAATATCCGAAAATATCTAAAAATATCTTATGGGTTTATAATTTTTGCCAAAATGAAAATTACTAAATTATGGTATCCGTATTGTGTTTAAATAATTTTGTCATTTTAAGGTTTATTAGGTTTCTACATAATTTGGCTCAATTATACAATTCAAGAAATAGTAATTATTTAAATTGAAGAAAAAATCAAAGTGGAGATTAGACAATTGTATTGTTTATTTTTCTAATTTAATATCCGAGTAATATTTTAACGGTATTTATTATTTATGCAATTTGAGAAATCAGTGATAATTTAATGAAGAATATTAGAAAGAGCAAACCTTTTAATGGGGATTCGTATTCGACTAGGCATATAAAACAAAACTGTCAATGAGAAAAAAGAGAAAAGAAATAAAGAAAATGAGAGATAAAGAGATCGTATTGTGGAATCAAAACGAGCTCGAGCAAAAGTCACTAAAATAGGTATACACAGGCTCAAACGAATCATTATGGTTTCGTTTGGTCGCGTTTCGCTTCTAATTTCGCTAACAAACGACTAACCGAGTTAGCGCGGGAACGGTATAAACGGGTATAAAACGGGGGAACGAACAGCGGCAACGGCAGCGGCCTCTTTTGTCTCGTGAATTCCATTGTCCGATGAGAGAGAAAGATAGTGATAGAACGGAAAAGACAAAGTTCGTTCGAAATATCCGCACAGCGGTTGTTCGTTCATTTTCTTCTTTTTTGCTTTTTTTATTTTGTTCTTGTTTTTTTTTTTTCTCAATACGTCGTCAAACAGATCTTTCGACAAATTTGTACAATTATTTCTCGATTAGGATGAATCGACTTACCGTGGACGAAATTAGCTCTTCTAAGCCGGTTGTATCAAGGATAACGAGAGAAAGAAATGGATGAATAGAAAGAAAAAGAAATAGAGAGAATATGTAAGCCTTAGTGTTGTGATGCGAGTCGGCTAATTGCGGAAGTTTCCTGAACAATTTCGGTATTAATAAAGTTTTTTACGTCTTATCTTGACAAGAGAATGAGCAGAGACAAAGGGAGACAAAAAATATATATATATTATAAGAAAAGAGAAAAAAGATCTTCTTTTGATTTTATCTGATATTATTGCCGTTTTTACGAAGACTTGCAGAAAAAAGCACCAACTATTTAGTTTTAAACGATTCTGAGCGTAAATATTATCTTGTACATACAAGCTTAGATACACAGCATACTTAAGCCATATATAAATACGTGCCTTGCCTTTTTTTTTTTTTTTTAATCCTTTACTTTCGATAGATTTGAATGATATTTTGAAAGTTTTTTTTTTCCTGAGTCTTCAAACATTATCCTTAACACGATTAACTTCAAAGTAAGTGCTGAAAGATTATACTTCTATTTCTTGGTAAACGATCAAATAGAAGTGACTAATAAGATAAATACATATCTTGCGAATTTACAAGGCAATAAGAAAGGTGGCAATATGTATAAAGATATATACATATACGTTTTACTTATATAGTATGAATAAATCCAAATGTGTATTGTACAAAAAATACTTATACTCGTAACAACTTCTTTCTCGTAATCAACGAAACTCTTGTACCTAATTGTATATATTAAGTGTAATAATCAATTCGGTGCTTTGATATTAAATTCATTGGATCAAAATTGCTATGGTTTTTTTTTTGTCAAGTTACTCGGTAGTTGCCTGAAAGATAGATCAAAATTATTGAACACAATGAAAATTAATTTTAAGAATAAAAAGATTACTTTATAAATAAATACTAAATTTGTGTTAAAAAGGCATCGAATTAATTACTACATTAAATAATATACATTGAAAGGGTAACATCACGAGTGTGTTTGTTATTGGAATTTTATTTACTTTGGAGCTCCTCAAAATCGTAATCCTTGAAAATATGACGCGATACCTATGAATATAAGACGATGGATATGAATATAGTCTAACACAATAAGATAAAAATATTAAAAATAAAATTAATTTATTGTGTGTATGTGATTCTTATGGTATAATCCACAATTAGATTCTAATTATCAATTCATATTATATTATGGATTATATTCTATAATTCGTATAATTATACGAATTATGCAATAAACTAACTTCTTTTAATTTTGTACTTAAAACACTTTCATAATTATTGATATATATAAATATGAGAACTATTAACACATTGTTGATCAATTATTATATGCAATAACCTAATGAGTATATTAATAATTGAATATTAAAATAATAAAAATTCTGATTACATTAAATTTGAAGTTACTATTAGAAAATACGACAAATAATATAAAAACAACTTACCCTCCCCAATTTCATATTCGAAAAATTACATAAATTGGTTCCACCTTTAAATACGAATATACTTGTGATCGGTCAATAATGTGTTAAGAATGATTAAACTTTGATTCTCAATTTAGAAGGAAATCGATCTCCGTAATGTTTCTTTTTCTCTTTCTTCTTCAGAAAACAAAAAGTAGAGAAAGAATAAGAGAGAAAAAAAAAGAAAAATAGTATTCCCGTGATTACTCGTCGTTTCTCTCGATCCTTTAGAGATACCGCAACGGAAGGAAGGAAAGAGTTTTTATCAATGGTACTGTGATTCCACTTGACTTGGCTATGGGGTACGGAAGAGAAGGCAGATCGGAGGGAATAAAAAGTGATCGAGAGGAGACGCATTTCGAAGTAGGAGGAGGGTGGGGGGNGGGGGTGGGGGTGGGGGGGCGAGAGAGGGGCTGACCTTGCAGGTCTCCACGGGGCCACCAATGTAGACTGACGAGAAAAGAAAAAATCCTGGTGCTCCTAAATGCGGGCGGTGTGATGTCATGCGGAAATAGCAGTCCGACGATGCGACGACGGTGCTATGTCGGCGTGCGAAGGAAGAAAAGAAAGAGATGAAAGAGTAAAAGAGTTTGCCGAGAGACGCCATAGTATAAGGAGAATCTTGGATCGGTCGAATTGGCCGATTACCTCCTCTCCATAAGCTTAGAATGAACAAATGAATGAGATAGATAAAGAAAGATAACACAAAATGGTAAAGATCTTGAGAAACGCCTTATTTTTTAACTAGTCATTCAATGATTAATTATTGAGTCTCCTATTTATTCGACTCCGTGATAGTAAATGCTATTAAACAGATTATCCACGATTTTTCCGACCTATCCGTTTCAATTACTTACTAATTTACTATATCCGCTGTGACGGTGACCGAAGTATCGGTAATGGACGCCGAGAGATCGGCGTAATTGTTTAACTCCGATTATGGTCTCATCAAATTTAACACATTTCGTTTATCATTTTATTCATCGTTTCTATAAGAAATGTAAAATGAATGTATCGTTGAAATATAAGAGGCTTGGTGTTCACGTTTCTTTTTCTTTTTTTTTTTTGGATTCTTTTTCAGTGAACATGAATATTGTAATTTATATAAGAGATAGGTATACGTAAGTTAGATATAAAAGATCGATTCTTTTAATACTTGAAAAAAAAAAAAAACGAAATGCCGTTTATTGCATACGCGCGCGTATCGCGGTACAAAATGCGAAGTGTCTCTTAAGTGTTTGAAAGAGAAAGTAGCGACGCGTGTGTTCCATGAGATCCATCCTTTCGTCCATGAACATTCCAAGGCTTATAAAGATCATCCGCCGTAAACGTGAATGCGCGTAGATGCGATCTTTACGCGAAAAATGAAAATTAAATGGAAGAATGAAAGTGGACGATGCAAAATCAAATGTCTTTCATTCATGATACTAAAATTGAACTAATTTCTTTTCTCATTTCTATTTATTTAATCTGTATTTTTTTAAATAAATAGTCACAATATACGTATATTAAATATATATTGTTCAGTGTTTAAATAGAGAGATGAATATTTATAAGGGATAGTATTATTTCAGAGATATATATTAACGTTGAATAAATTTTGATACTTCATTATAAATACTAGTTATTTATTTAAAATATTAACCAAACGGTATTTAAAAATACTGATCAAATTAATATCCAATTAATATAATATAGAAGCCCTTTATTTTGTTTCCAATTATTTTAATAATGTGTCATTAGTTATATTTTTAATTATTTTCTACTTTAATAATTATTTCAAATGTACTTGTAATTGAAAAATATAAATATTATAACTTAGGTCATCAAACTGTATCTTAAGATACATACAAATGAACCGTTGGAAAACGGAATCGCATACTTTCGCAATTTCTATCGGAGTTGAGACGATCAGAAAAATGATACTACAGCTTATCTCTTCTTTGCTTCCGCTGTCGAGTCGTCACTTAAGGATCATAATCCGATTTCACGGTAACGATGTACGCGTGCAGCCTGCGAGAAGACCAACAAATTGTTATACCGAAATTTTTCAGGCTTCGCGGAAGAGTATAGTAGATATTGTAAATAATTTGATAAAAAGATATTCAGTTTTTTGTCGAGGTTCGTAAACTTATCAAATGTTTATTTTAATGTTTGTGTAAATACGTACGTGGCACGAGCTGTCGTTCATTTAATTTGACGTTTATGGAAACTACAATAACTTATTAAATACGTATCATCGTATTAGCCGTTTAACACACTAACAATAAGTTAATGGATATTTATGAGCTTTAACGAAACGCTCGGTCGGATAAAATAATGCAACTCTATTTGTTTTAAATATTTTATAACTCTCGTAAAATCTTTATTTAGCGTTACAAAATGGTAGGAAATATGTACATATCTATCAATGTCGATGTTATATCTATCTTATACATAACGATAAATAATTTTATTACATTCGTTTTTCAATTAATGCGATTAACTCGTAAAAGGGATTTGTCACAAAAGTATTATCGATCAATTTGATTAAATATCATACAGTTGACAAAATAAAAGAAGTTTTAATAGTTGTTGGAAAACCATCATCACATCGGTTACATTATTTTTTCTCAAATCGAAACCAATTTGATTACATATTCTTTAGTAGAACACATTTTTTTATTAATTATAAAAATTATGAAAATTACTCACACACTATTCATAATCTGTAGTTGAATTAGGAACAAAATCATATATATATATTTATGTTCAAATTTTCACCATAATTATAATGATAATTACTGAAAACTATATAAAATAATATTTTGATAAAAAAAACACAAAACGTTTGACTAATAGCGATCAATCGTCGATATCATTACAGATTCAAAATAATAATCGTTAATTGCAGGAAGCAAAATATAGAGAGAGATAGAGAGAAGGAGAGAGAAAGAGGTTGTTCTTCGTAAAAGTGATACGCCGCGGGCGAAAGTCACCAGGAATTCAAGCCCGATAGGTTCGTCGGTAGATTCGAGAAAGAGAGAGAGAGAGAGTGAGAGAGTAAGAGTAAGAGAGAACGATGTCACGCCGGTGCGCGGTGGCGCGCATGCGCGCGACTTATACTTGACGGACTCAAAAAATCAATGAACTCGCGGTACGAGCGTAGTCGAGGAGATCACTTCTGGAAAATAGAAAAAAGATGTAAAAAGAAGAGAAAGGCAACAAATATATATAGTAAGAGGAATAAATATAATTTTGAAATAAAAAATAGTAAAAGAAGAGAGAGAGAGAGAAAGAAAAAGAAAAAAATAACGAGTTACAAAGAGATCGAGGAAAAATCGTTGGCATTTGTCGAAGACGACGACGCATCGTGTGCGATCGGTGAGCGCGGGCGAACGAACGCGAACGAACGAACGATCTTTCTGTAAAAGAGAAGGAGAAGAGTAGAAGTAGTAGGGATACTTGTATAAGGGTAGAGAGAGAGAGGTATAGGAAAATGGAGGACGAGTGGGAAGAGAGGGTGCAGCCCGGGTGGCGGCGCTAGCGTAAGATGGCCGAATAGCGGTACGGCGGATAGCAGCCGGGCGACCTCTTCGTTCGGCGTTTGCTTCGGTGCTACATTCGGCTGGTGGTGCGTTCGTTCGTTCGGTTTCGTTGCCGCCGCCGCCGCCGCCGCCGCTACCGCCGCCACCACCGCTACCACCGTTGCTGTCGCACGAGTTCGTTTCGGCTCGGGTTTACTCGGTGCTTCAGTTCGTGTCCTCTCGCTGCGCACGACGGACGTGTCTTTCGGTGATCGCGCAGAGAACGTATGTTATATATATATATATATGTATATAGGGACATACATAACACATATATATATATAGATTGTGACTCTCTTGGACTACCACCACAAACGAGTATTTTTCTTGTTAAAGAGAGAGAGAGAGAGAGATAGAATAATATAAGTCAAAAAACATAGAGACGACACGGAAGAGAAAGAAAAAAAATATTAAGAAAGATATAGACACAACACAGTGCTGCCTGCAATCGCGTGAATAAACGAGGGGTTTCTATATAACGGTGAAGAAAAATTCGTGTCTCGTTGGAAAAAAAATACAAAAATAATAGGTGGCAAGGAAAGTAGACGAAGAAAAAGGATAGGAAAAGGCCGTGTTGTTGGTTCATCTTTTTTTTTTTCTTTTTTAATCGGAACTTGGCTTTCCTATTTTAAGCGTCCTTCTCGGTGAAAACCGTGAACGATGATCCTGTGTGATAGTGAACGAAGGTGAAGATTTCAAGTGTGCGCGGATTTTAGAAGGGTGCCGATCTCTCGCGCGTGTCCACCTTTCTATCTCTATCTATCGTTATCTTTTCCTATCACCCTCCCTCCCCCTACCACTACTACCACTACCACCACCCTCATTCTCTCGCGTTAACCGCGAGTGCCGCGAGTTAAAATGGCGCTCGGCTTCGTCCGCAAGAACGCTTTTGCGTACAGCATCGCTTCAAAACGATCTTCTCGTGGCTGGTCGTCATCGTCATCTTTATCATCATCATCGTCATCATCATCGTTATTATCATCGTCGTTGTCATCCTTGTAATCGTTGCCGTTGTTTTTAACGTTGGTGGTGCCGCGTTCTCTCGCTTTGAACGGCTCGCGTTTTTTTTCCAATCCTTAGCGAGTGCAAAGAAGAAGAAGAAGAAGAAGAAGAAGAAGACGAAGAAGACGGAGAGAAGAAACCTTTCTCCTCGACTCGTCCTTTCGTTCTCCGCGCGCCACCACATCCCGCGTCCTGCACCTTCTTCTTCTCTCTTTCTCTCTTTCTCTCCTCTTCGTTCTACTCTTTCTCTTTTCTTTTTTCCTCTCCTTTCCTCTTCCTCTCCTCTCTTCTCTACTCTCCTCTTGAGCAGGCCGCGCGCCCCGTCGGAGCCAGCCGGCTCGGGCGGCATTCCGCGAATCGCGAACCCGACCGCCTGTCCTCGCGGCAGCCCGAGAAAACGACTTTGCTTCGTATATACGTTCCTTCGAACTCACCGTATAGACGACGACGACGACGACTAGCTAGCTAGCTAGCTAGCCAGCCAGCCAGCCAGCCCCCCTTCTCGTACCTTTTTCCATCGTTTTTTCCAACCCATCCATACAACGGAATATCCACGACGACGCTACTACTACCTTTGGATCTACGAGGACGAGCCATCTCTCGTATCTTTCCTTACAGGTGAGTTTAAATTTTCTTTTTCTTTTTTTTTTGGTTTCTACTTTTTTTTCTTTCTCATTCTCGGTCGATAACGAAATTACTTTTATCTCGCAACATTTATTATTATTGATGATAAAGGTTCATAGGGAACTTGGACATTGAAACAGTTTTGTTGAGGGTTTCAAATTATAACGAGCTGATACTTAACGAGGTTTAGATGTTTTGAATATTAATAATAAAAATAAAAATGTATGTCTACTCAATGAGAAAAAAGACGCTGAACTATAAAGATTAAGTTGCTGAATAAGTCCCAATAAAGGAACGAAACGTCCAACTTAGTTAAATTAAGTTCTACTTCTTTTCATGTCCAAGTTCCCTATGAACCTTTATCATCAACAATTATAATTTTGGACGAGAGAAAATACTGAATAAATTTATTATTATTATTTTACGAGACGTATCTTTCTATTGTTTTTTTTATTTTATCCATTTGTTTCTCTCTTTTTTTTTTTTTTTTATTAATGTCTTCTTTTCCGTTTTCTTCTTCGTTATTACTTTGCTCAACATTTTTGTCGGAGAACACAAACTGATATCTCGAACGTGTCAGTTCAGTACTCTCGGGTTTTCTTAACTCTCTGTCACATAACCACGCGAAAATTGCTATCGTGTCTTCTCTTTTTTATCTTTATCTCTCTCTCTCTCTCTCTCTTTCTCTCTCTTTCTTTCCAACATATTTCTTACCGACCGAACGCGAAATTAATCCCCCTCTTATGAGTACGCTCTAGGGAAAAACCGGTTTAGTTCTTCGCCTTAGTTCCCTCGGTTAAGAGACTTAGTCGAATTCGTAACTCATATCTCTGTGTGTGCATATATATATATGGTATATACATACATAATGCGTAAATCGAAAGGATGGTTCGGTCTCGTCTCTTAAAATTCAACTCTTCATTAAACAATAGTCTTTCAATAACGACTGAATTTCAAATATGTGCCTTTTCTACATCGATACAAAAAAGTAGAAAGGAAATTTTCAAGGATACAAGATTGTAAGCGGTTTTTTTTCTTTTTTTTTACGAAAAAGAGACAATATTACTCTTCGAATGTTACTGTTTCTTTTTAGAAGATTTAAAGTACCCTTTAAAAGATTAAATGCTAACCATATAGTTGATTCCTCATATTCTACGATCTTATATACCGAAATACAATGTTATATTCTGTTGTTGTTTTTTTTTTTTAAAAAAGGCGTATTGGAATTAACGAAACTGCAGTTCTGTGTTGAGATAATATCTCGGAACTCGTAAAGGTATCTATAAATATAACATCTATACACGAGAAACACCTAAAATCGTTGAACCATAGTGATATCTCTGCTTCAATTCGCAATTTATGCTATATCGAAGGATTTACGATACACTCGACTCATATTGTCAGAGTTTGATAGATCCTCGACGACAAAGTTACGACGTGTCAGTGTCATACGCGATATATGTTATCTATGTAGAGAAAATACATATAGGGGAAATAGCGATTTGTTATCGAGAAACTATCTCCAAATGATTGTATCATCGATGACTTTTATACATCCATCCGACGATATTATTTACAAAATGTTTCAGAATTTTTTTCAGCCAAATTTTACATATATAACATGTATATATATATATATATATATTGTACTATCAAAATTATACCTATGGGAATAAATGTCATTGATTTAGGTATTTTTTAAAAACTTTATTAAAATGTTATAACGATCCAATATTTTTTTTGTCAATATTAAAGTGTGTTATCGATGGCCGACATTTTGAAATGGCAAGATATATGGCAAGTGATTACGTTGATTTTTTGGATTTGCTCGTTATCTTGCAATACTCGAAACAGTTCGACCATCGTTTTTCTCTTTTTTTTCTTTTTTTTTTTTTTTTTTTTTTTTTTTTTTTTTTCGTGTTTTTTTGTTATATGAGCTAGTCGTTTGCCAAATCGATTAACTCTACGAAAAAAAAAAAAAAGGTAGTAGAGAAAATTGATAAAGTAATATACATTGTTATATCATTTATTTTATTGAACGACCATAAATATAGTTTTTATTTAATGATTACTTTTATTTATTAAAGAAATTTATTTTTCAAATATAAAAATTTAGACATTAAATCACACAAGTACTTTTGCATTAAAAGTTTACAAAATTCTAATATGAAGTGAATCATATGTTATTTTTCGATACATTTTATTTTTATTCGTAAAAAAACTAAAGACATTTAGTATAAAAATGTTTTGCCGTATAGAAAATTCAATAAAAATTGTTATAGATAAACGTAAATATTGATTTGTATCTGTAATTTAAATATTACCATTTAGTTAACATTTAGGTAGGTATGCATATACACGCATAGATTAAGAATTCGCTAGATTGATAAGCAAAGAGCAACCATTTGATAACCCTTGGAATCGAGATGAACGCAGAGTTTTGTTCACATCGACCGATCAATGGACACCCGTTTTTCATCGTTTTGTTTTTTCGACGAGAGATTCTCTGAACTGCAGTATCGTAATTAGCGAATTCAACGGGAATGTCTTTTCATTTATAACGTACGTTGTGATTCCTATTCGAGCACAGCATCGAAACATCGTAAAAATGTATCAAATGTTTTTTTCCATTCTCCTCGTTTCAACGTTCTTCCGATAAATCTACCAATATTCCAGTAAGAGAATCACACAGACCAGAATTATTTGTTTTTTATTTATTGTTTTCTTTTTTTTCACATAGTATTTTGTGTTCAATACTATTTTTACGAATTATATTCGAAAAATTAAATAAATCGTTATAACTGTATACATATATGTGTATATATACATTCGAAAAATTGTT